AGAGAGAGAAAGAAAATATAGAATGAGAGAAAGGCGTATACGAATTATAGATAGATGTCTAATATGTGCAAAACAAGTCCCAGGGGGGAAAAAAAGAACAGCCAATGAAAATCCCTCTAGGCCCATCTCTCCAATAATCCGAAACCTACCAGCTAATAACTATAGATCTAATGAGAAATGGGAATATAAGGACTCCATCATGACAAAAAAATAAAAATAAAAAGATCGAAAAAAAAGGAAGAAGAAGAAAAATAAATAATCAGCATCATCGTCATTGTTTGTTACTATTCCGACACCTCCGGTATGCTCTGCAGCGCAGGCTTCCAGTGTCGATCAGGATCCTCGTGATGACTCATTAGATTTGCCAGCACTTCCTGCACTGTCAAATCCCTTCCGTCTATTCGCTTCAGCAATTTCTCCAGCTGCTTCTTCGTGATTTTGAGCTTCAGCTCCGTCGACGCCGAGAAAGCATTCTTCCCGCTGTTCGTATCGATGCTATAGTCATCTTTTGAGCTTGTCGACTCCTCGGAGACGCAGTCTTCGTCGTAGTCGTCGTAGTCGTCGACCCACGTAACTGCTCGTTGGCGATCGATACAATTGCCCATCTGTCTTGATCCCTTCTTCCTCTTTCTCTATGTATATAGAATTTGGTTTTGGTTTGGTTGTTGTGATGGAAATAGGAACAGAGAAGAGGGAAATGGGGGTAGTAATGCTGAAGGCTTTATATAATAAGAGAGGGTGGGACTTGCCTTTTGTAAGCTAGAATATTAGGTCAAGGCTTTAAATTTTGATCAGCTCATCCAAAATGCCAGGTCAGACTTCCATGTATGAAAAAAGAAATTTCCATGTTAGGTCCTCTATAGAAAAATCATATAGGGGGCGAAATGACTAAGGCACTGTTTGGCAACAAAAAAAAGTGTCTTATCTAAGAGCTTATGTTTTATTGACTTGGTCAATAAGCTAGTAGAGTTGTTTGGTAACCAAAAATAAAAGGAGATTATTTTGGAGATTGTGACTTTTGCAAGTAGCTTTTGGAAAGCTATCTCAAGTAGCGTTTGTCTTTGGGAAGGAGCTGTCAAATTTTTTCTTCCGTTTTTGCCCCTAATAATTTTAATTTTATATTAATAATATTGCATGACTTTTTTAGTCATTTAACAAATTTAAGCTAGTTGTACAACTTCTTTTGCCAAACAGCTCTAGTCAATCAGCTAGCTACACAGCTATCAGCTTTCAGCTATAATTTCACAGCTTTCAGCTAGCTTGACAGCTTTCAGCTATAATCTCGTAGCTTTCAGCTAGTTTTGCCAAACAGAGCCTAAAATATATATGCATGATTTGCTACCCGTTTTAAAACCGATGGCCTCATACTCATATCAATTTTTATGTTTTTTTAGTACCCGTATCTTGTGTGTAATGATACTCACAATTTGCGGTGGTTTTATATATAGTTGTCTTTTTTTTTCTTCCAGACTGGTTTTTATTAATTTAAAAAATATTAATAAGAATTTTATTATATAATAAAATCATAAAAAATTCTTTAGGGACCCAAAATATGGGACCAATAGGGGGGACAAGTGAGGTGTCCCCCTCCTATTGGATAATGAGTTGGCCATC